TTGTTGCTTTTCATTGCCTCTGTATGGCCCGAAAAGGAGAGGAATATGAGAAATTCAGTTTGGAACCCATGAGAAAACTGTCAGCCCCAACCCCCTTAAGCGAATGAATAGAGCGGGATTAGATAACTGAATGTTGATGCGGTAGCAATTATTTGGTGACTCGACGGGAATAGGTAGGAATTAAATTTATCTTTTTTTTATTTAGTGGTCAACATTAGCAGGAGATGTTCGCATGTCTAGGAAATAAACTATTAGATATTATTCACATGTCTAGGGCAATCTTGTCACGTGGAGAAGCAAAAAATAAGTTAATTTCAAAGTAGTGCAGAATGTGAATATCGTATTCTTGTACTAAGAATATGCAAGGGAATGTGAATTCAAAAGTTGTTAAGAGAATTTAAAGTTGAGATGAAAAATATAATTAGATGTTCAATGATAGCCAAACAACTATTAATACAGCTACAAATTTTTTGCATCATGACAGAACAAAACACATCAAGATTGACTGACATTTCATATCATAAAAGTTTAATAATTGAGTTGTTCAGCTAAGCTATGTTCCTGCACAACTTCAAATTATTGGTATTCTCACCAAAGCATTACAAATGACCAGCCTTGATGAATTCAAGTTCAAGCTTTCTTTGTATAACATATACAATCAAGCTTCAAAGGGAGTTGGAATGTGTCAATTTACAAACTTCATTAGAAAAGAATTTATTTTTTCCATTAGAATATCTTTCACTAATTATATTTCCTTTTAATAGATATTTCTATTTTACTACTTTTTTTTCTGATTTGGTGAGATTCCTACTTTATTTTCTTTATTATTATATATATGTTGTAGAGTGTAATGCATTGAGTGAGCAAAAAATAAAAATCTTTTATCATATTTTTGCATCTATACATTCCTTTTTTGGTGGTGGTGTGCAACCCATACACACTTCTTGCGATGGTGAGAAACAAAATTTGGTGACACTATTCTAGGGCTCATAAAAGGTATTTGGGAACCGAATTTAGTAGGGAGGTGGATGTGAAAGCAGCGTTTTTAGAAAGAGATAGAAGGCATTGGACGTTTGTCTAGGCTGAAAACAATAGAGAGAACCATAAACAATGTGGTACGGACGACAAGAAGATTACGCCATGTGTTCCTAAACAAGCTACAAACACACCAATTGCAAAAGGAAGATAATACAACACTCATTAAGGTAAAAATAAGATATTATAAACTCCAAATTACACAAAAATAAGCTGAACTTCTCAAAAAAGTAAAGTACCACATATAAATAATCGAGCTCAAATCCATGAGTTAGGCCAATGTGCGTCAGATTTAGAAGCAAAGTGAGTCGGGGTTTGGGAAATAATTCATTATAATAGCAAGAATGCTTGATAAAAATAATTTGCTCAATTAGGACCAAATACTTGATTTGATAAAATTAAGTTTATTGAAGATTAGTCAACTCAATTGACTAATTAAGCCAAATTAAATAGCCCCAATATTGGGGTAAGCAACTCAGTATTCCATGAAACATGTTTAATCAATTATTTTGGATGGAAACTAAATTGAGGATCTTGCCTGCATAAGTACCAAATACCTTTAGTGTAGACAAAATAGGAAAGCTCATCAAGCGTGTTTAATGATGGTTGAAACATTCAAGTTTGTGAAAGGGAATACTTGCTTGTGTTAGCATAATTGTGAAAGCCCATTTAGGCATATGGTGAAAGGGAACCCATTTGAAATTGTGCAATAAAAATTGTCTGAAGGCACGCCGCAACAGTTTCTACAAAAAAAATCACAATAAGTCTTATGCTTCATTGCCCATGCATGAAGCATACACCTCACCCGGGTTGAGGCACACCCCAAGACCTGCTTCACCTAAAATTTTTTACGCTATTTGCAATTTTTTTAAACAAAAGCTAAAAATAATATCCATGTACCTTACCAATCATCCTTCACACACCTAAACACTGCACCAAGAAACAAATGAAAAAGAATCCATAAAATTTATATAGTTGAAATTCTATGTATGATCATTACTTCAAAATTTAATTAGTATTTTTAACTTCTATAGATTAGGAAAGAGGAAGAAAACTGAGATTAAAGATAAAGAACAAGATAATATGAATATAAATAAGTATGAGATGAGAGAGAAGCAATTAATTATGTTGATAATCCTGATGAAAGCCCATTAAGTAATAAGATTTTTAAAAGCATTGAAAATTTAAAATTTTTATATTGATGACTTACAATAATCTTAACGGGGCAAGTATGAGTAGAAGATGGAGAAAACATCAACAACAACAAAGTCTTAATCCCACTACGTGGGTTCGGCTACATGAATCCTTTTTCTCCATTGCGTCCTATTTATTGTCATATTTTCATTTAATTCTAGTAAATTAAGATCATTTTTAATACAATAAGCCCAAGTCTTCCTAGGTCTACCTCTGCCTTTCTTAACACAAGTCGAATCTAAAACATCTACTCTCCTAATCAGATCACCAGATGATCGACGTTTAATGAGACCAAACCATCTAAGACGACTTTCTCTAATTTTGTCTGTCACAGGAGCTACACCAACCCTATCACGAATATATTCATTCCGCATTTTGTCTCTAAGTGTAAAGCCACTCATCCACCTAAACATTCTCATCTCGGCAACACTTAACTTATTATTATGCTTCTCTTTTAAAGGCCAACATTCAGCGCCATAGAGCATTGCAGGTCTCACCACCATCTTATAAAATTTTCCTTTCAGTCTTAGCGGTACTTTTCTATCACACAAAAGGCCCGAAGCATTCCTCCACTTCAACCAACCAACTTGAATTCTACTATTAACATCCCCATCTATATCACCATCGCTTTGGACAACGGACCCAAGATATCTAAATCGTTCACACCTTTTAATAATTTGATCACCCAAAGTCACACTTCTGTCACTAGAGCTATTACTACTAAAATTACATTCCACGTATTCAGTTTTAGTTCTATGTAAACGAAGGCCTTTAGACTCCAATGTAGACCTCCATAATTCAA